GTGGGCTATGGTCTATGGGGCTGCAGGGTCAGAAATGACTGAGCAACTAAACAACAATAATAAAGTGTTAACACTACTTATTTTTCACTGACTCATTCAAGGCCAGTGCTGGAAGGAACCACCGTGATCATTTAGCAGCCCCTCCCTCCTCCAACCACCAGATTTTCAAATGGAGCAGTGCTTGAATGAGTAACTTCTAGAATCCCTTTAAGCTCTAAATTTAACTTTCTCAGTACAAAGACCATAAGCTACTCATGAAAAGAGATTAATAGAAACTCGATGGCTGGCTGATTTTTAATTCCACTCTGCCACAGAACGGCAGCCCGTTTTCCAAAGGCCTGGAAATCTCTGGAAGGCTCTGAGCCCTGGAGTGTATCCAGTGCTGCAGGAAAAGCCCGTGAAGACACATGGAGCTCCCGAGGCTGCAGAGTGGGGTCGCGTCCACGGACAACGTGCCGGTTTCCTTGGGAGATCATTTTCCAAAGGACTCAGAGGAGACGCCTCCCCTCGGGAATCTCTGCATCCACCCCGTGGGCCGGCAGGGCTCAGGTCTACTGGCCTCCATCAGTCATCACCCTTTCCTCCGGGAACTTCAGGCGCCTGCCCCGCTGGACAGTTTGTTTCTCTAGAGCAGGGGGTCCGCCCTGCTCTGGAGCTGTGGGTGGCCTTCGTGAGGTCTGTGAGCACCCACGGGAAGGGGAAGTGTGAGCCCCTCAGCCGTGTCCGACTCTCTGTGACCTTAGGGACTGTGGCCCGCCAGGCTCCCTGTCCGTGGGATTCTCCAGGCAAGAATACTGGAGCGGGTAGCCGCTCCCTTCCCCAGGGGATCTTCCAAACTCGGATCGAATTCAGGCCTCCTGCATTGCAGGCAGACTCCTTACCGTCTGAGCTACCAGGGAAGCCTGTGAATATGGCAAACTGCCTGCAAACGGGTGTGTGCGCAACCTTCCCTCACAAGGGCGTCCGCAGCTCTTAGCAGAGCCTTGGGGGGACTGTGAGCCACAGATGTCTAAGGACGCGTCCATCCTCGCACTTGCGTCTTAAATATGAACCCAAGGGCCCTGGGCGTGCGCTCACACCTGTGTGCATTCTCAAGCTCCAGGAACCTCTGGGAGACAGCACACACGCTAACAAGCTTGCCTTTTGACTCCCACATTAAAAAAATAACTTTTTAAAACAAAATGTCATCCCCAGGACATGGAAAACTGAATCAGTCAAGACAAAAAAAACTTCAAAAAAATCAATTATCCATTTAGTTCCTGTGAAAATCTATCTTAAAACCCAGAGTCTCTGGGAACATCAAAGCTCTGGCTAAATTTTTAATAAACCATGAAGGCAAGTGTTAAAGCAGTGACCTTTTCAAAGGTAGGTTGGTGACAGAGAAGCTCTTGAAGCGGTGCTCATCAAAGGGGACGAAGCTGCCAGAAGGTGCCGGTGGGTGAGTGAACTTTCCTTTAGACTGAAGTCAGGAGCTTGAGACTCTGGGATTGAGCCCCACCAGAGTCTTGGGAAGCACATCTGTTTCTATCTAGATCTTTATTCTTTTTCAACTGGTTAAACAAGGCAGAAAGAAAGCCACTAACTACCATGACTGAAAAGACAGCATAAACATAATTCTCTTCTCCAAGGATTGAGAAGTGAATCCGTAATTGTCTTCTCCAATAACGTGTTCAACCTGTTAACTCCAACCTGCAGTTAACAAGCTGACCATGTCTGTGGAGGTTTGGGCGCTGCCCTCTGCAGAGCCCTTGGTCTCCCAGCGGTCTCGTCAAGATACCGGGGGAGTGGGACTTCCCCAGAGGTCCAGTGGCTAAGGCTGCATGCCCACGGCAGGGGGCCCACGTCTGGTCCCCGGTCAGGGAACTAGATCCTACACGCTGTAACTGAAGATCCTGCGTGCTGCAGTTAAGACCTGGCACAGCCAAATAAATTAATTAATTAAAAAAAAAAGATACTAGGGGTGAGTGCGACCAGATCTTTCCACGGGGGCAAACCCACTTTGGTCAGATTTGTGCCCGGGGGTCCCACATAAGATATCATCTCAATCCATAGTGAATAGCAAGCTTCAGGAAAACAATCAAAATAGCTGACTGTTTTGGGGCAAAATCTTGACTTTTACCCAAAAGGAAAAAGCCAAGAGGGAAATGAGGGGGAAACAGAGGCTGAAAAAAAATGAGGCCAATCAGCCTGTGTGATCATAGGACAGACATTTCTAAGATCGGGATAGAAATACTTGAGGAAAATGCTTCTCGCCTAGAGGAAAACCTGAGCCTAAAAAGTAATCAGACACTTAGTCTTTTGACACATTTCATGCCTGTACACACACACACAGAGATGTATATATATAGATACACACACACACATAGATAAGTATATATATAGAGACACACACACAGATAAGTATATATAGATACACACACACAGATAAGTATATATATAGACACACACACACATAGATAAGTATATATAGATACACACACACACATAGATGAGTATATATAGAGAGACACACACACACATAGATAAGTATACATAGAGACACACACACATAAGGTTTTCCCAAGTGGCGCAGTGGTAAAGAACCCACCTGCCCATGCAGGAGACGCAGGTTTGATCCTGGGTTGGGAAGATTCCCTGGAGGGCATGGCAACGCACTCCAGTATTCTTGCCTGGAAAATCCCATGGGCAGAGGAGCCTGGGGGCCTACAGTCCACGGGGTCCCAAAGATACATACATATGTGTGCATGCATGTATATATGCACTGGAATACATAATATATTGATATTTTACCTTGTTTAAAAATGACCCCCAAAAATCTTCATTGCACAAGCAAAAGAACTTCAAGTTCCCCACCGAGGGATAAACTCGGCTTGGCTGTGGCCTTCCCTCCCTTAGCACTGAAGCCAGAAGATAACAGTATTCCCAAGGCCTTCAAGGAGAAGCGCGTGCCCCTGGCGAGCTCCGCCCACTGCAGCTCCGCTCCTGTGTTGGGGTGACAGGGTGACATTATGACCTCCGCAAGGACTCAGGTAATGTATCACCTGGGGCTGCTCCCTGAACAAGGTTACCACTCAAACTTGACTTTCAAAACTACGAAAGATGAATCAGAACGTGTAAGAATTCAAGACTGAAGGGGTGAGAGGACTTCCCTGGAGGTCCAGTGGTTTAGAATCCGCCTGTCAATGCAGGTGGGGGTATTCATCCCGGTCAGAGTACTAAGCTCCCACACGCCTCGGGGCAACTAAGCCCGTGCACCACCAACTACTGCGCCTACGCTGCAGCTGAGACCCGACACAACCAGAAATGAAGCCAAACAAGTATTTTTTAAAAAGACTGAAGGAATCAGGAGCATTATTAATGCTAATAACAGCTTCTTTTCACATGCTCAAATGGCCCCAATACTGTATATACTGTGTATATACACATATAATCTTATTTATCAAAATTAAGTGTGGTTCACTTTGTAAATAAGAGCCCAGTCATCTCAGTCATAGCATCATCCCCACTTTATAGATGAGAACGCTGAGGTTCAGAGAGCTCAAGCCATCTGTCAAGATAAACTATTTAGCAAGCTGTAGAGATGGAATTCCAAAACGTAACACAAGGGCTTCCCCAGGATCCCTTGATTTGGCTTTTAATAGTATCTTCTGTACGTTTACCTGTCTTTTCTAGTTACAGTTAGTCTATATAAAACATATTCTTTTCTAAACAGAACACCAACAAGTTTTTTTTTTTTCAATGAAAATAAATCCAAAGACATGAAACAAATTGGTTCAAAATGCTAAAAAGGAAAGGATCACAATGCAATAGGGAGGCACCTTTGTATTCTAAGTCAATCACTAAACGGATGTGTCCGTAGGCTTAAATCACACAAAGCACAGAACTTCCCTGATGGCCCAGTGGTTAAGATGATGAGCTTCCTCAGCAGGGGGAGCAGGTATTATACCGCCTGGCCCATCCTTGGGAACCCTGCCTCTCAGGTGAGGAGCAACCTGACCAGGCTCACCTGTGAACGACTGCAAGGAGGGACACATCCCCCCAGAGGCTGACCAGAACCAGGACACAAAAGTTCGCCTTTACTCTCTCCCCTTTCAGTATAAAAGCCTCAATTCTAACTCAGGCAAGACGGTTCTTTGGGAATGAGCCCACCGTCCTCCTGGTTTGCTGGCTTCCTGAATAAAGTTGCTATTCCTTGTCCCGCCAACTCACCTCTTGATTTATTGACCTGCTGTGCAGTGAGCAGTACAAACTTGGAGTTGGTAACGACAGAGGTATCTCCGAAAGATGCCCCCAGGAAGGAAGCAGATACGGCAAACATCAGTGTAAAACGATACTGAATTCAATACTTAAACAGAGTATCAGGGGAACTTGCCTTGTGGTCCAGTGGTTAAGAATCTGCTGTTCAATGCAGAGGATGTGGGTTTGATCCTTAAGCCCACATGCCACAACTAAGACCCAATGCAGCCAGAAATAAACAAACATTAAAAAAAAATTTTTTTTTAAGCATTAAGAAAAGCCAGAGACATTCCATGTTTACGAGAGGCAATAGCTAATGAATCTGTGCCCAAATAACTTGGTATCAAATAAGTGAAGAAAGGAACTCAGAGGTGGAAACTGGAGTGAAATTGTCTGCAGTAACTGGAACAGGAAGTTGGAACATACGATGACCAATCCACAGCCAGTAACCCGAAAGATAAACTCAGGAAAGATCCGCACTCCCTCCCCCACACCCCCTGGAGCAGGGGTCCCCAGCCTCCCGGCCACAGAGGAGCACCTGCTGTCAGATCAGCGGCACTAGATTAGATATAAAGTGCACAAGAAATGCGATGCACTCGAATCATCCCCAAACCGTCCCCACAGCGCCAGTCCACGGAAGAATGGCCTTCCACTAAATAGTCCCAGGTGCCAAGAAGCCTGGGGACCACTGCACAAAGGACCACGCCACAGCTGCCCAAGCCCCTCTCCAAGTCGCGAGCGGCACGCGCGGGGCGGGCTCTCACCTGGGATGTTGTGGATGGTGATGGCCAGGATGAGCAGCGCGATCCGCCTCCAGCTGCTGCCGCCGGGCTGCGCCGCGCTGCCCCGAGGCGGCCCGGGGGCGGCCGGGCCCTCCGCGACGTCGGCGGCCACCGCCCTCTTCCTCTGATACGCCTCGCCGTTCTCACTCTTGTCTGAGCAGAAAGAGAGGGACGCAGAGGGAGAGCCGTTAGAAAGGCGGCGGCGGGGGGAGCTTGCAGGGCCAGACGAGGTCTACTTCCTGACTTCCCAATGGCCCCTATACGCATCTACCTGGTCCTCTGCACTCCATTACTCTGTTCTTAGGGTTAGATTATCCCAAATACCCAGATTAGCCCAAATATCCATGGCCGATTTGCTGATTCCTAATGGAGGCAAATTGCCTGGATCTGAAATACGGGAGAGCAAGACTGAGACAGAGAATCCAGGCTGCGGTTCACAGCCTGGGGGTTACCTATCAGGGAGGCTTCCTGGAGGAGGAGGGTCTTGATCGAATCTTAAACCCGCGGTGCCACGAATGGAAAGGAGAGTCTCTCCATCATCTGAGCCTGCAGACCCTGACTCGGATGACACAGACAGGCCACCAAGTCCTGTCGTTGGGACGTCTACCGTGGGCAGGGAAGGCCGACAGCCTGGTTTTGACTTGCTCTCCCAGGGGGGTTACTCGTGGCGTCTTGCACTCTGCAAAGTGTCCTGCTTTGGAGGATACATTGTTTGGCTTCCCAGGCTGCGGGGAACAGCAGAAGCCTGACTGAGGCTCTGCTCTGATGGGGCCAGCGGACTTGAAGGAAAACGGAACTCCCTGTGGTGGCCGCTCCCCTTCTCCGGGGACATGTTTTCCACAAGCAAAATCATTCTTGTCTCTGAGCTGAAGACTGCAGAAAACTTTTCCCAACATCAAATTAAGAAACTTGGAGGCTTCCCTCACCCCTGACCCCGGGAGCATGGTGTGGCCTCAGCTTACTCCTGGCAGAAAAGCAAGACAAGGGTGCTTATCTCACACCCCGGGTGCTTCATGTCAAGACCAGAATCTCACTGCATAAATGGGATCAGATCTTTGATTCCATTTTCAGATGAACATACTTTAGTGGAATACATCAAAACATGAAAACAGCAACAACAATAAAAGAAACCATGATGCGGTGGTTTGCTGAGACCAAGCAGCTTGGAGAGGAAGAAAGAGGTGCAGGGCGGGCAGGCTCGCTCCTCCCCAGCTGGCCTCGGGGGGCTTTCTCCTTGGGACAGCGGAGACTCAGAGCCTCTGGGGAGAAGGGGCCTGTGATCCATCCTCTCAAGTGCCAGGGTCATCAGCCCTCCTGTGGTCGGGAGCCATCACGCGTAACACTGATCCCTGGAGGGTGCAACTGTCTCAGGCGATAGCCACACCTCCAAGGCAATATTTGCACAAGCGGAAGTTCAACATTCACTTTGTTGTGTCTATACGTGTGTGCATGCACACGTGTGTATGTGTGTGCACGTGCGCAAGTATGCAATTACCACTGGGACCCGCCTTTCTTTTTTTAATAGTTTTGTGTTTGTCTGCGCTGGGTCTTCGCTGCCGATCAGGCTTTGCTCTAGCCGTGGCGAGTGAAGGTTACTCTCTAGTTTCGGGGCCGGGAGTGTCTCTTGCTCCAGAGCGGGCTCTGGGCGCACGGGCTCAACAGCTGTGGTGCACGGGTTTAGCCGCTCTAAGGCATGAGGGGTCTTCCCGGACCACAGATCGAACCCGTGTCCCCTGCACTGGCAGGCGGATTCTTATCCACCGCTCCACCCGGGACGTCCAGTACCATCTTTCTTGCCTCCGAGATTAGACCATCTTTGTGTGTGTATGCACAGGTGTGTGCTTCTGGGCACACCTCGGTTTGTTTTTTTTTAATTGTTGACAATACCCGATAACTCAGGCTACAGCGGCTTGTTGTGGAACTGAACAAAACGTGTGGGATTTTAAGCCCATAAACACCAAAGGCACAAGCCAGCAGACCTGAGTGCTGGGCAAAGCGGAAGCGATGCAGTGACGGGGGGCACTCAGCTGTCTCCAGCGCCAGGCAGTGGACACCCCGGATGCCCGGGGTCCCCTCTGTGAACACAGCCCCAGCAGGGAGGCTCTCCAGTGGGAGTTGATAGAGACAAAATAAAGGAATAGCCCCTCCCTTTGGGACTGTCACAACGTCAGGAGGGACAGACGGGAGGACACGGATCACGCCCGTAACCTAAGGGACAGAAGCGCGCTGTCCCAAACAAGCACTCGGAGACCACGCTGATTTCTGCCCTGCCATGGAAGGGTCCGACTCCGGGCCTCCTGCAAGTGACGCACAGCCCCCGGGGCCTCGAGAGCAAACTCCAGCACCAAACACGCGCTTAACAGGAACGTCGAGAGGTGTGAAGACTGACGAGCCGAGACGAGGATGCGCGCCTCGCCTCGGGGTCCTCGTCGATGTGTGAACGCAGATGTGGCTGCCTTTCCCTGGTGGGAAACGGGAGGCTGCGACACCTGATGTGCTGGGAAAGGTAAATAAGCCAGCATTTGATGACAGCCGCTAACGAGCCTGCAACGAGGAAAATTAGTCCAGATAAATCATCACTGAGAGGAAGGGTGCGTCCCCAGCCATGAATGTCCTCGCCTCTCCTGGGGAGGCTGGTTAAATCACCACACTCTGTCCAGTAAGATGCCAGCAACGCGGACAAAGGGCGACCCCATAACAGGGGCAACAGCTGAGCCCAGCATGGGATGAGGGGTGCTACCAAAGTGACAAGCCCACGTGAGAGTTCCTGGGAGAGGAGAAGCCTGGGCACTTTTCCAGCAGGATTCGGCAAAGGGGAAGGACGTTTTGGGGAAGAAACAGCCGATGTCGGGTTTAGGAATGGAAAACTTCACCAGCGACACTGAGGGGTAATACTGAGAACTTAGCCTCAATAAATCCTCCATCTTTAAAAAAGCCCCATGAGGTAGAGATGATCCCCTTCAACAAACAAGGAACTTAAAGAACAGGGAGGCAGAGCAACTGGTTCCAAGTCACAGTCCTGGGTTCCAAGTCCTGAATCCAAGATGGATTCAGGAGTCAAGCTGGGTCCTGTGCCTCCAGAAGCCACCTCTTAACCAGGGCCCTGCAGCTGACTGGGAGTCGAGGGTGGCGTAGTGACCTACCCCTTTGCTCGCAAGAGTGTGTTAGTTGCTCAGTCATGTCCAATTCTTTGTGACCCTGTGGACTGTAACCCGTTCCCAGGCTCCTCTGTCCCTGGGATTCTCCAGGCAAGAATACTGGAGTGGGTTGCTGTTCCCTTCTCCAGGGGATCTTCCCCACCCAGGGATCAAACCTGGGTCTCCTGCATTGCAGGCAGATTCTTTACCATCTGAGCCCCCATGGAAGCCCAGGAGCACAGCAAAGCCAATCACTGCAGTGACATTTAGGAACTTGAAATCCAAGACGCTTAAGTTCAGAGAGACCCAGTGAGCTTGCATCACCAGAAGCAGAAAAGGCTCCATGGAAACCTCATATCTATAATCACTCCCGTGCGTCGACAAACCTGAAACCATGAAGACACTATCTCTTAACCCGTTAGATCTACTGTGGTAAGTATAAAGCCGCTGTCCATAGGATATATTTATTAACACCAAGCGAGGGACACTGGGTTACAATCCTTTAAGGAAGGTGGAAAGACTTCAAAGTTGCCAATCACCAAAATCCATTGTTTTAAAAAATTTAAACTCGAGCATCTATGCATCCACACCAAGAAGGGGCCCAAGCCCGGGGCTCAGCCTGCCGCCCCCCACTTCATCCTTCAAGGGGAGGCACCCCGTTGCTAAATGTGAGAATGAGGACCACAGAATTCAGACAGACCAGACCAAGGCCCCCTTTTCCAGCTGCATCACGAGGTGACTTTATTGCACACATTTTGTCCCCTGCCTTCTTCTCCCCAAACAAGGGACGTGATGCTTGTACCAACATACGATACTGTGGAGCAAAAACAGAGCCGGGTCTAGTGGGCACAGCTGGGGAGGTTGGTGGGAGAAGAGATAAGTCCCTCCCCTCGGGGAGTGACTTCCTCCCCCGTGAGAGGGCCTGATGTCCTCAGATCACAGGCTCTGAATCACTTTCCATCAGCAATGCTTTAGGAAGTAAGGTGGAACTTTCTATCTTCTTTCCAGTAAAAAAAAATAAATAAATACAAGGACGATTTTGGAACAATGAGTCCTTATGGATTCGAGGACCTCAGACAGACTTCATCTTGCTAGATAAATGCCACAGTAGCCTTCGTTCTGTCCCCCGTGGGCCCAGACTCAGCAGGAACAGGATGTCTGCTGCCCCTGTGATGATGTAACAGACCAAACCCATCAATAATAGGCCCAGAGATGGAGTTCAGGCCACCAGACAATAGGAGGAACGCTAATTAACAGATCATCAGCCACAAGAGCTTTAGAAATGTCCCCAAGATATTACTGGAGATGATCTGGTTGAATTAGCACAAGTAGGCAAATTCTCGTCCGCTAAACACAGAAACCTTCAGGTCCCTGGAAAAAACTCCTTCTTCCTAAATCCTTGCTCTGCTCTGCTGTGCTCAGGCATGCCCGACTCTGCGACACTGTGGCCTGCAGCCCGCCAGGCTCCTCTGCCCACGGGATTCTCCAGGCAACAACACTGGAGTGGGCTGCCGCTTCCTCCTCCAGGGGATCTCCCCAGCCCAGGGCCTGAACCCGCGTCTCCTGCGTCTCCTGCGTCGGCAGGTGAATTCTTTACCGCTGAGCCCCTGTGGATTACCCATTTTAAATACAGCCGTGTGTATGTGGCTTACACATCTCAATATACAGTTGCATGTTCCACTTGCTTCATTTAAGACCTCAGAAGCATTTTCTACATTCCTCAGCCTCTGGGACTCTAGTCTTTAATGGCTCCGGGGCATTTTTGTTTAGTGCCAAGTCTATCCTTTGCGCTTCATGCAAGTTTGAGTCATCGCTCTGTTTCCCGGATGTCAGGCGCAGTGCTTCCCTCTCGCCACACGGGGGCGTCTCCTTCAGCTCCCTCCCATCCACCCCAGCACAGTTCCTCCTTCACTTCAGGCACCAACTCTGTTTTCCAGCTTCACGATTCATACATGCCACTGGACCATGTAAAAGGGCTGGCCTACGCCAGGAAGCAGAGCTTAGCAAGTGAGGAGA